ACTACCAAAAACCCTAGAAGGATTCCAAGAGCCGATTTTAGCCTTCCCCTCTCTCCAAGATCATCCAATTGCTTTGGTGTTTGTGATTCATTAGAGGCATCACATTTGAGGTGTTAGTTTCTCAAAAGCTCAAGATTTTCAAGAACCAATCAAAGGTAACATTCTGACTAGTTTATTTATGTTGATTTTGATTATGAGTAGTTTATTTATGTTGATTTCGATTTTGTTTTTACTACTTTAGGGTTTTAGGGTTTGCATGTGCACCATATGATTGATGTTTTGCTCATAACCCAACACCTCATACTTAAATGACCTGCATGTTCTTGCAATACTCAGACCCAATCCAGTAGGGCCACTTAGTTCTGAACTAGAATCCTCCACATCTAGTACATCTTAACCATAAGCTCGACAAAAACATGCTATAAACGAATCATAGTTCCATACCACATTATCTATTATCTTTAACTGCTTAGTAATCTCTTTGACCATTTCTGATCTCCGTACGAATCATATGCTTCTAGTAGTATATACATATACTACCTTCCACATCTATTTTTACTCATCCCAAGAATTGTCTCAAGGTTCCAAAGTTGGTAATTACTATCAATTATTATTGTTCTATTCTTATCTACACGTGCTTAGGAGAGCACGCACCACTAATCTTCCTAGACTCTCCTTCTATGATTCTTCTAACCATACATTCAACCTTATCCTGCTATCCTACTAGGAAGAAGATTTTATCAATATTAATTAACTATCTTATGAATACTAAAAACATGCATCTAGAATTAAGTAGCCCTTCGACTAAGAGATCATGCACTACAATAGTTGAACTCAAATAAGAGTTACACAATAGGGCATAACCAAACAATCTAAGAATATTTAATTCCAATGGCATAAAATCTTAATGCATTTGTTTAATAGTTAATTAATACTCATATATATATATATATATATATATATATATATATATATATATATTTCAAGGAATTCAACAATCAAGCAACTAATCTAACACACTATTCTGAAAAGCTCTTGAGTCTATCTACTAGCATGCAAAATCATGGCAGGCAAACTACAAGCTGCCTAGGTGGAACTAATCATGTCCTGTAATATGAATACTTACTAATTATATATAAACATGACATAAGAAACGTAAGTAAGTTTCATAACATAAATCGTTATACATCATATCACTTAGACATGATGACTAACCATGGAGCTCAGATGATTGGACAATCTGCATTCTCTTCTCCGAGGCATGTGAGATTTTTCTTCACTTATCTTTTCAAAACTGGGCCTTTTTACTTAGTTACTTATCAAATGATTATTTTTTCTAAAAATCCACATTCTTTTGAGTCTAACATCCCAAAAATCCAACCATAAAATGTAAAAAATCAAAATATAGGTCTTACAAAAAGATCTCATTCATATTAATTTCTAAAACAAAAGATCATCTTTCACATCACATTAACATGTTCTTAGTAAAAATGTGCGATGTCTTGTTTTTTCCTCAAATATGGCTATGAACAACAATCCTTATCAAATCCAGTTGCCACGATTGAATGGTAAAAAAAATCTTCATTAGAGTACCTAGATGAGGGTTTTGTATGAATCGTTGGATCTATGAAGTATCTTGGAAGAAGGTATATCTCAACCATAGAATCCTACTGCACAGTAGGAAAAAGAATAAAAGGAATTAAAGAAAAAAGACAACAAGACATTATTCTTTATCTACTAATCAGTCGATGATCCTATCTTCGAGAGAATATTAGGTAGGAAATCTTCTAAAGAGGCATGTGATACATTTTAAATAGAGTAAAAGTGATGCATTTGTAAACGAATTTGATAGTCTAAGAAGGAAGGAATCAGAAACTATATAAGATTTTTACAACCATGTGATTGCCTTGACAAATCAAATAAGATTAAATGGAGAAGACATCAAAGATAAAATGGTTGTTTAGATGAGACTAAGGAGTCTCACGCGTATTCGAATATGTGGTAGTGGCAATGGAAGAATCAAAGGATTCATCCAGTTTATTGATTGAAAATACCTTATGGATACTCTAATCCCATGAATTTAGAATGAGGAAATATGATGACAACCGTACAGAACAAGATTTTCACCCTCAAGTCTCTATAAAGGCAAAAGGTAAGGAGCATGTAACACCTTTATCATAAACTCAATGTTTGTACTATCAAAAGTACGTACATACAATGAAGTACTGAAAGAAACAAAAAAGGATGAGAGTGAAGACGTCAATTTCATATGTGGGTATGAAGTCAAGGAAGGTGAAGCAGTGTTCATGGCAATTGAAGAACTTGAAAGTTTGGTTGAATGTTGCAAAGATGATGTATATGATGATCTTGTGAAAGGAAACAATAAAATGTGTGTGTGCCTGTGGATGATAATCTCCATCGGAAGGTTAAAAAAATTGATGATGAATGATGGATGATGCTTGGATTCTAAGTGCTTTAAGGTGTTGAATGCTTCTGTAGGTGATCTAGATTAGGGGGAAGGTGTTAGAAAGTGTCAACCTAGATTGTTACTTAATTAATTCTCTGTTAAATATGACAGTTAAGTGCATGAACCATTTATGATGGTTCATGAAAAGTTGTGTTGGTTATACCCACCCGTTAGTTTATCATGTGTGTGTATATATATATATATATATATATATATATATATATATATATATATATATATATATATCCATAACAAATTTAATTTGGTATATATAAATCTTATCCATGGTTTGAATTCTATCTTTATCCACAACACTATGTACCTTTGTCAAGAATTCTAACTCATCAAAGCATGTTGGTAGAATCCTCGACATTGAATTTTCTCCAGTTAACTTGTCTGAGCATTCAGTTTGGTCGTCATACCAAACTTACATGCTCTAACATGTGAAAAAATGCTCTTTATTCATGAATGAAATAAATAAGAACATACTTTGACAAGTAGACCAAATGCATGCTAAATTTTTAGAGAATTTAAACATTAGTTTGAAAGTGTCGTTGTTGGTACACAAAGCTCTTGCTTATAAATGGTCAAATTTAAAAGATTTACGCAGAGAGAGGTATATGATTAACATGTAAATAATGATGAACCATTCATGGCTAACATTATCTTTTTTTTTTTTTTCAATTCAAGCTAGGGTATATTAGACTTTATAAGTTTTGAAGGAGAAAAAAACAAGATGATTTATTTGGCATGCATGTTGCCAAGTCTGGAGGTTTGTTTAGGGTTTTTTTTGGATAAAGGAGAACGACAAAAGAGGACAGAGTCGACAAAAGATGATGTAAATGACAAGGGAGATCCCTATCTTAGTGGGGAAGCACACAAGATTATTATGTAATAAAAGAATTAAAAATATTATATAACCTAGAAATTGGCCCCTCACCGCTTTGCGAGTGACATAAAAAAGTTTTTGCTTACTATTTTCTAGTAACGCAAAAGGAAAGTGCTACTATTATCCGTTTTATCATTTTGTGTGCATTGTTTGGGGGGACCAAAACTTGCCGACGTAGGAAAGTGTAGGGACCAAACCTAGAAATTTTCTATTAGGTATGGATTATTTTTGTAATTTTTTTAAGTATACTGACCCTTTTTGTAAAAAATTACACAATGGCATTTTACGGGGACAATTTTTGAAATTTTTTAAAAAACATTGACAGTTTCTGTAAAAAAAATTCACAATGACATTTCTATAAATTACAGGTACACTTTTGTAAATTATTTTCTACACAGGGGGCAAACATGCCAATATAGAATAATCTGACATATTAACCATTTTTGTAAAAAAATGAAACTGTACATGGACCATTTTTGTACATTAAAAACTACAGGGACTAGATCTATCTAAATCTAAAAGTTTTGTGGCAAAAATCTAAAAATAAAAAACATTACTGTTCATAAGAAGTTTCAATTTAATATATAACTAGCGGAAAAACCTTCGCCCTGGACCTTTTTTGTGTTTTTTATGAAAAAATGTAAAAGTTTTAACTGTAAGAACCAAATATGTCAAAATTGTTAAAGAATTAAATGGGTTGGAATTAACAAGTTTTAAGAAAATGGATGAAAATTGTCAATTCTTTAAAGTTTTGTGGCCAAACTTTAAATATTAAAAGGTTACTAAAAATATAAAAATTTTGATTGCAATGACCAAAAGTGTTAAAATGTAAAAGTTTTGACTGTAGGATCAAAAGTGTAAAAATAGCTTAAGAATTAAATGGGCTAAAATTAGCAAGTTTTTAAAAAATGAAAAAAAGTTGTCAATTTCTTAAAGTTTGTGGCTAAATTTTGAGTATTAAAATGTTCCTAAAAAATGAAAAAATTTGATTGTAATGATCAATAGTATCAAAATTACTAAAGTTGAGGAGCAAAATTGAGAAAAAAACATCCAAATTTACTATTCAAAAGGGAATATTATATATATATATATATATATATATATATATATATATATATAAAATGAGGAGGTGCAAAATTTAAAATGTGGCTGATATAGATAGAAGACAAAATTGCAAAAGTGGTCCCTGTGGTTGGTGGATTTATGCGATTTTGGTCCAAAATGATATCTTGGTGCACCACAGGTCCAAAATTGTATTTTTCTATTGCTTTTGGTCCCTAGCATTAACTTTCATCCATTTGTGCCGTTAGGTGCAATAAAGACAAGGGTATTTTCATCTTTCCGCCTACAAGGACCATTTTTGCAACCTTATTCCTAAAAATCACAATTTCTCCCACCAGCATTTGGTACTAGTGCCTTCATTGCTTGAATCATTTTATCTTCAAATAATGAATTGATTTTTTATACTTTCTTCGTTTTTGGATGCGATTTACAGATCAGAAGCAAAATGAGACTCACGATTTGAGTCTCATGGTCTCTATTTAGTCCCAACGATAAACGAGAATTACCAGCAGAGTGGGTTGTCTGGGTGGTTGCTCCGACTGTCTCGTCGCCCCTATCTACAGGTCAAGGGATTTTCGATCGTCATTTGCTCGAGAATAGGGCGTACATTAGCAGAAATCGAAAGGGTTCCAGAAGCGGTTGACGATTGCGAAGGGATGAGGGCTTCGATTTCCAGCGGACTCCCTTTGGTGCGTTTGGTTCGTCGTTGTCAGCCTCAAATTGAGGAAGGAGTCTTGTAATAGGAACTGTAATTCTTTCCTTCCGATACTTACTAATCTCTTGAAAAACTTGATGAGTTTCAACCGATGGTAATCCATTGATGACAATATCAGCATCCCAAACAGCTTCCCGTAAATTCGTTACTACTTTCAAAGGACTAAGTGGAGTATGGATCATATTCAAACAAAACCCATGTTTCAAAATCTCATCTACGTACAATACTAGATCGCCTAATCTTGCTTCAACGTATTTCAAATACGCACATCCTCTAATCAATAGTCTTAACACGTCTTCTCGTGTGTTGATTACATCGAATAAATGTTGCGATGTGGCTCGATCGACTGACCTATCTGCTCGTCTCCAAATCCTGATTTGAACTTTATCTCAAAGATGACCATAACCATCTTGTAACATTGCTGCAAACACACCGCTCCAAGCACCAGCTCCAACGCTCACGATTCTTAAAGGATCATCGTCTGTTTTACCCAATACGTTACGAAGCTCGTCGAGTTTTTCCTCTAGAGACCCGTTGTTGATTTGGACTAAACCATTCACGTAAGCATTGTTTGTCGAGGTCGATCCCTCGATTTCTGCTCCGACCATCGTTTTCTTGCACAAACCTCGATGAATTTGATTTTTCTGAATTGGGGTTTGGGTTGATTTGTATCGAGTGAGATCTTCAATTACAGATGATGGTGTATAATTTCTATAAGAAAACAACGAAAAGTATAGTGGTGGAGGTGAATATGAGTTTTGTAATAAATGTAACACATTTAACATCTATAAGAAGGTCGGCTGAAGTAAACCCATCAGAGAATTCAGTTTGAAACGATGAAAACTGCAAGACTCCTTCCTCGATCCGTCACTTGGGCACGATCAAGATCGAGCATGAAACTGCAACTGTTCTTCTACTTTTCTCGATTCCCTTGATTATATATATATATATATATATATATATATATATATATATATATATATATATTGGTTTGGTTCATGATTTTTTTGGAAACAGGTTGCAAAAATGGTCCTTGTAGGTGGAAAGACGAAAATACCCTTGTCTTTATAGCACCTAACGGCACAAATGGATGGAAGTTAATGTCAGGGACCAAAAACAATAGAAAAATCCAATTTTGGACCAATGGTGCACCAAGGTATCGTTTTGGACCAAAATTACGTAAATTTGCCAACCACAGGGACCATTTTTGCAATTTTGTCTAGATAGAAACTGTCTAAGATGTTAAGACTTATACGGCAAAAGTTTAAAAGGACCAAAATGTACTATTCTTAAAGGAGCAAAGAATTAATAAATATATAAATATAATATAATATAATATGTTTTAAAATGCAAATGCTTTTCAAAATGATGATGGTTAGTAGAAAAGTCTTATTTATTTATTTTTTAAACAACAAATATACTAAACTACATATAAATTGATACAATAAGAGTGGCTAAAGAAAGAAAACTTAGACATTTGAGACTTCAGATCATACTAAAATTATGAGCAAAAGCAAATTTAAAATACATAATCAACACTTGAAAATAATATAAGATTTTTTTTTTCATAATACAAATGGGCTCTTGAACATACAAATCCAGAGCCCAACACTAATACAAATCCAGATCCCAATACTAATGTCGTACGACTTCATGTATACATCATACAAAAAATAAATTAACACCACATAAACCACAATATTATAATTCCACCTTACAAGATAAACAAACCCCCAACACCATAGACATTAACGTTAATCATTGCTCCTAAGCCTCCACAACTTCTTCCTCTCCAGCAGCAGCAGGCTCTGCAACTTCCTCCCCGGCCACAACCTCCTCCGCAGCTTCTCCCTCTCCACGTGGGACCTCCTCCACCGGTTCTTCTGGTTTTGTGTCCGAAGGGATGGCGAATACCCTAGAAATCTTCTCAGTGGGCACCAATGGCAGAAATGATGATGTTTGCTGGGCAGTCTGGTTGTACTTTTCAGTAATCAAAGTCGCTGATGGTGCAATTGCCTTAGCTACTGTAGTCACAAATGGAAGGTAATTTAGGGTTTTCCAAGCTGAAGAAGCGTATCCCTCAGCGACTGGATCCACCTTGACTAGAAAGCCTTTGGTTGTAGTTGTTAAATCCTTCACATATGGAGGCATCACACCATCTATTTGGGTAACAGACTCGTCAACCTGAAATCATGCATGTATCATCATCAATGCACCAATTAGACATGCATGCATGAATTAACAGGTTATACGTACGTACCAAGGGGGGAAGATATGGAAGAAAAATTATAATCACATGTTTTGCACCGAAGAAATATCGAGAGCAAAGTCTTAATGGAAAAAATATTACAAATTTTATTTTATTGACATAGTCCAACAATTCTTTTGATTTTATAAAAGTGAAAATCTAATTTGCACTTTAGATTTTTCTTTTCCCTAACCTACCACCTTTAAGAAATTTTTCGGTGACGTTTTTTTTTTTTTTTTTTTTTTTTTTTTTTTTGTCAATTTTGCTTTACATAAAACTTTTAACAAAAAAAGGTTTCTTACTTGAAAACCATGTGTAAAAGTATAGTAAAGCACGTTTCACATATGTATGGGTATGTATGTGTGGTTAGTTAAGCCTATAATTCTCAACCTTCTTAATTTCATACTACAAGGGGTTTTATCTAACGGTTAATCTTAAATAAACAGAATAAAACATGCTGTTTATGACATGCATTAAATATACCCATGTTCGATGTCATAAAGATGAAGTGCATAAATTTTGCATGGGTCATGGTGAAAGAGGATTTGCATGAACGACATGGATTAGTTGGGTAAAAAGTTTCTTAAAGATATTTTTACTAGCAATAGTTACCAAACAAGAAAATAACAAAACTTCAATTTCGGGGTTTTTAACAAAGAAAAAACCAATCTCATGGCTAAATAATTACTATGATAAAGCGTAGAGGAAATTAAAGAGAAAGAAAATAAAGCTGACCTTACGATCAACAAACTTGAGAGCCACAACAGGGTAATCCTGGAGCTTTTCATAAGCAGGGCCAACAACAGTCTTGACATGAGTCTCTAATGTCTCCACACCAGGTTTCAAAGGCCCAGTCTTGTCCTTAGCAAAATCATAAGCTTTTGATGCATAAACAATTGCTTGCACTAATGCAGCTTCCACGAATTCCAAGTGCTTCAACTTCTCTTGTTCGCTCTGAACCTTTTGCAACAAAGACAAAAAATACTACAACCAAATCAATTCTCAACTCATCATGTCACATTTCTTATGGAGAAACACGTTTCAGTTTTAGAAATCATGCATCAATTATGTTATAGACACAAAACATCATCATATGTTCCATTAAACCATTTTGAATGTATAGAGACTAAAATGATTTGTTCAAATACATAAATAAAATATAACGGTAAACAAACCTCTGGTTCATCGGTAACAGAAGAAGCGTCGGCCATGATCGAGATGTATGTGGTTTAACACGAGAGGAAGTCGTATATATTGGTAAGTGATTGTTGTTTAAATCAGTGTGTGTGTTGATATCTCAATCTATGGATCTATATTTATATAGAGTAGGATGTAGGGGACGGGGTATACTTTTCACGAAAACCGAAAGTGTAAATTGACGAAAGTATGGGTCCGGAAGTATCGACTGTTATTTACAATGGCAATATATGTTGAATTTAAGGGATACCTCATGTTCCCAGTAAAGATTAGTCGATGCACAACAAGCCTAGAAAATCTTTTTAGGAAGTTTCTTTTCTCAACAAAGAACAAACAAAATAATCTAATATTAAACATATAGCCTTTGTAAAATTTCTTTACCACGCAAAATAATTATTTTGATAAAAGATAAGTTTACAAACTACCGTAGAATCCAAATGTAATGCTTGTTTACCGTTTTCTTTTGTAGTTTAAAATTCAAAAAATTAAAAAGGGGTATTATCATATTTTTAGTAATGATTTGGTGTAAAACACATATATAGATATAGGGGTCTACATGGAACGATGTGATATGGTTTATAGTCAAAACAGCAAACTGTACGGTTTACGAAAAATCAAAATCGCAAACCACACCTCAAAAGTCATAAACCACAATATATTGTGCGGTGCGGCATCTATGGTTTAGAAACTTCAAAATAAATCATCATTTTATTTAAATTAACTTCATCGTTAAGATTCAAACATAAAACTAATAAGCAAACGTACTTTAAATATAAACATAATTAAGAAACAATAATCAAATATGAAAATAATAAAGTTAAAACCATTAGATTTAAAAAAAAAAAAAAAAACTTCCACACCAGTCATTTACAAACTATCTTGCAAACACTTTAATTCTCAACTCTAATACATATTTAATTAAAAATGGGCATACTTGACAAAACAATACTTCATTTAATTAGAAGATTAATACAATCTAATATTAAAAAGAAGGGGCGAGCCACAACATCCTGGAGTCGGCGGGAAGCAATTATTATTAAACAATTGTTGTGGTATTATACTGTATTATAAAACATATTAGTTATATTTTGAATTTTAAGTAGTATAAGGTACAAATATTTTTGTACAAAATTATATATATATATAAATCATTAATACTTGTCAAAAGTTTGAAGCCTTAAATTAAGGAAGGTTATTAAGAAATTTAATTTGAAGAAATATTAAATTTATGTGTATAAATTAACTAGGTGCGTGACCTGTTTATTATACGGGTTAATTTAAAAAAAATGAAATATTAAAGTGTAAGCAACAAATATTTTTTAATGTCAAACTTAAAAATAAGAAAATAAAAAACGTATTGATTGCAATTTAATTTCATTTATAATATATTTAATACTTTACATATATAAGTATATGACTTTAATTTTAAAATTTGAAATAAATCAGAAATTGACAAGTGGATAAAATTTATTTCAAAAATACAATAAAATAACAAATGTCAAAACTCATTAGAAATTAACAATTGATAAAATTATTTTCATTTATTAGGGAGAATTTAGTTTTCTTAAATTAGAAACTCATGTTAATTAATTTATATCAATTATATAAACAAATAATATAAATATATCATCTAAACATAAATAATTTATTGAAAAGTTGTAACTTTTTATAATAACTAAAAAAAATCTAATAATTATTTTCCCATAAGGAAATTATTTGCCAAAAGAATTGTTTATCGCAGTCGTTTTGCAAGGGTATATATATATATATATATATATATATATATATATATATATATATATATATATATGTATATATCGTTTATTTATTTATTTTTTACTTTTAGAAATATTTTTTTTATAATTTTTAAATAAAAATTCAAAAAATAAAATAAAACTTTAAACATATATATTTTGGTTTTAAAGTTTTTAGTTTTCTTTTTCAATTTTTTTTTTGTTTTTAAAAAATATTTAATTTTCGTGTTATATTTTTTTATTTTTATTTTTTAATATTTTTACTATATACTTGAACATACTAGTGCTATTGTTTATTTTTTAATTTTGTTTTTTGATTTTTTAAACTAGTTATCGGTTTGAGTTTTTAATGATTAACAATTATAAATTTTAATTAAGAAGAATATTAAGGATAATAAAATTTTCCGTT